CCGCCCTTTTTGTGCGTGGGAGATATTCCATTCCGTTCCGGATGCGAAGTACATTATCATGTAAATCGTAAGCGTATTGGGTGCAAAATCGGAGGAGAAAGGGGTTGGACCGACCGAGTCGGCGCCATAACGCCGACGAAACGCGAACGAAAATTCGACGGTTCGGTCGTAAAGGTTTAAGCACCATAAAAAAAAAATGGGCGCGTGTGCACGCGAATGTTGTAATCGCACTTGCTATATGGGGCGGCCGGGCGTTTTTACGACGGAACGGATCATCGGCTGACGCGAGCGTTATAAACCAAAACGGTAATTGAGCGGACGACATTAGCGACTGCATCGGTGAAGTTTAATCAATCCTTTTGTTACGATGCACGATGTTACGATGATACCGAGATTAAATTAACAGGCCACGGAAGATTAAAAAGCTATAACTGGTTTTTTGTAACGTTACATGCCGAAATGGAGCCGAACCAATTTTCTCTTCTCTCCCGCTCTCATTTGCAATCGTTTCTTTTTTAATTGAACAATGTGCAGGATATGATATGCAGAATGTATTTGTCTTTGTGTCGTGTGTGCAACGAAATTTCTGTTGTTTGTCGCAATAGTTAAATTTGGTAGGCGCTGAAAAAATATTTACGTGAAAATATGTACATGTACCATGCAAATATCGTTTTTTTTTTTTAGCTATTATGTACTATGTGAGAAAAAGCATAAAATTTATATTGTTTTATCTTGATATCGATATGTATTTCGATGATGCGATCGAAGAAAAACAGCAGTTTCATCCCTGCTGCGCGGAAGTAGCTTCAGAAAGTAGCTTCATTTTAGTGCGCAAGTGACGCTGCGAGAATGCGTGCGAAAGTGTTTTCCGAGAAACATAAAATTTTATATACAAATATCAACTTAAATATTTAACCTGATGAAAAAAATCTATTTTATTTTATTTCGTTCGATTATGCTTTTTCGTGAAACCTGTTCGCGCGTGCACGAGCCAAAAACTCAACGTTCGCTGTACACTACGAGAAACCGGATGCGACGCCATGTCGATTGGCAATTTAAAAAAAAAAAAAAAAAGAAAAAAGAAAAATGCGGCGTGTGTCGAATGAAATGTCTCTTCAATTAACCTTTTTTTAATTTTTTAAATTAAAGCACGCTCGCAAATTTCATCGACATGCGCCATACGTTAAACTAGAAAAAAGGGGGCAGAAAAACAAGCAGAATTCTCCTCGTGGATATTGCGAGTGAGATATTTAAAATGAATCTCATTGCGCTTCCCATTGCAAATTATTGCATGCTCATACCGTCGCCATCTCGGCAAACGATTCCAAGCTCAATTAGCGTCTCGAATTCAGAGGCGTGGGCGTGGTGGACACGCGTTGTATTTACGCTATGCGTTCTGGCATTCCTCGCACTGTCAGCCATAATTCCGCGATAAATCGAACATAGCTCGGTTGGCGAGGTCGCGATTATTACCATCACGCGCATTTTCCATATCTGCACCGTATCAACGTCGGGCTGAAAATGTTACTTTATAAAATTTTACGATATACCTTCGTATTCGTTGGTATTGCAATACCGACGATACGAAGCAAACCGGTGGATAATTGTTGTTTTCGTCCTACTTCTATTCTCGTAATGTAGAGATAATGAGAGCTTTTGTAGTGCAGATGGTGAATGCGAATTCCTCAAATTTTTCATAAATTTCGCTCGAATGAAATGAAATTAATTAAAATTTTGCAGCAACGTCGAATGGAGCGTATGCAAGTTGAGCTTACGAAGGATGCGATGGATACGATTATACTTTGCGTTGTTAAAAACAGAGATCGAAGTTTCGATGGCGATGATTGCCGCTGTAAATATTCCTTTCTCCCTTCCCCCTTCCCTCCCATTTCCGGCAATGAAATTCCGGCGAAAATGGATGCGCGTCCTCGTAAAGGTCGCGCATAAAACGGAACGAACGCGCGTACCACTGGGTGTTTCATTTCAACCTCGGGATCCAGATGGATGCTACTATGTGAAATACTATTTCTCGTGTTTCGTTACCCGAGTCCTGCATCTCTTTCCGTTTCCTTGTCCGAGACAAGCGCGCAACGAGGAAAACGCGCGCCCGGAATATTTTTATTTTATCCCGAAGCGTGCACGTCAGTCAGGGGGTGAACTGAAAAGGGCGACCCGGGCTCTTTATAAATGATCGCGCCAGGTTTCACTGCGCTTTCATTTTTCACGCGAGAATGGGGCGCGAGGATGTGTATTTTACATTGAGATCGCGGAAATGTTCGTCTCTCTCTCTCTCT